TGGGGGGGGGCGAGAGAGGGAGGTGAAAGCCTTCTGAAATGATAAAAGAAACACACACAGGATTGCTGGAGGAAAAACAGAGGCAGTAAAACGCACATTGTAGAGCCCTTGAAAGAAAGAGAGGGTGCTGTTGATGAGAACTGATTAATTAAAGGAATAACGAGGCAGTCAAGGGTGGAGTGTGAGACGGCCCACTCCTAATGAGAGGAAAACAAAGGAGCTGTCTTTCGCGGGCCTTTATTACATTTCTTCGATAAGACTCGGGGCAAACATGATAAGTTAATGTTAAGCATGTACATGACAGCTTCTCCATCACCTTGTGCTCACCTTGTGATATACCTCTTAGCAAATTAAAAATTTCTTAGTGGCTATCGCAGTTATATTTTGAATTATTTGCCAGACTTATGCTCTTATTCTCTGCCATCCCTCTCCTTCTGGCTGCGTCTTCAGCTGTTGCCCCTTTCTTTCAACAACAGCCGATGGCAAATCCATCTTCTGTCACCTATTCATATAGTGAAAGGCCCCTTGAACTTATACGTAGGGATAGTTGCATTACTCAAGGCCAGGCTCAAATTAATGTCAACCTTTATCTCCATCCATCCCAGAAATATCTCTGTTCTCATTGCTCCACTTATTGCCCCCCCATCTCCCAGCCTCACGTGCTCCACCAATCAAAAACATAAATGCCTTATTGAAACGTGTTTTCTTCCCATTTTGAACCCAAGTGTAAAATTGCTTGAAAACCAACTGAACTCGGTGGCCCTCTTTTATGTGAAGTAATAGACCTTGACAGTAAGCCTGTAAAAGTCAGTTTAGATTTTGATGAGAAATACCTGCCATTTTACTGTAATTTACTTACAAGACCTGACTTTCCCCCTCTGTGCCCTGGCATGGGTCCTGAAAAGCCATAAAATAGATTGAGACAGATACTTATCAAGAGAGAAAAAAGGAGGGAAATCTTTTTTTTTTTTTTTTCTCCCGCCTTCACCCTGTAATGTTATTGGTAACTAAACTATAACCTCTGTGAAAACAGATAAACCTGGGCATGACCTTTTTGGGTTAATGCTTGATCTAAGTGAGCTTCATTTGTGGAGGGGAAACTTTTCTTCCTGTTACCGCCACCCCTTTTCTGGGAATATCTATGAATATCTTTCATTTAAGATAAAAATAAAAGTTGTGCGGTTGCCTACAAACACCTGTGCTTCTTTCAGCAATCATGTTTTTTTTTTTTTTTTTTTAAGTTTCCATCTAATACTTTTACTTTTACTTAATGAAAGCTTAAGTAGAAGTTACTTTTTACTTCTTCTTGAGGGCAGTGGTGGTTATGGCCCGGTGAAACTGTCATGGGTGTCCCTTGTTTTCACTTCTGAAAAGTGGCAACCTTAAGGACTTGCAAGAAGATGCCAAAAATATTTTATCTACTTTAAAAAAGTGCCGTTTGTTAACTAGAGGTTAACTCAGACGAGTCAAATTGTTTACTTGAAATATTTCTTGGATTTCACTAGGAAAGGTTTAAAACAAGTGAAAATGATTAATGTGCTGCAGAAAGCTGTATGCTTTATTTGACTTTATCATGTCAAGTTAAAAATATAAACACAATTAATTATGTTTCCCCACTTCATACCCATAAATTTAACATTTGATTTATTGCATTAGTTCAGTTCCTTGCACTCCTTACACTCATGTTACGAGCATATTAATAACTAATTTAAGGCCTGATAAGTTGAAGGTTATTTTAGGTTATGTTGTGGCTTCACTGAGACAGTTTGTGTAGTGACACCCAAACGCTCCGCGCTCTAAAAATAAATCAAACACAGACGCGAAGAATTAGTTAATCCACTCTTCACTCTGCAGTGAGAGATCCGAATCCCCCTCTGAGCAGAACATCAGATGAGAAAGAAGCTCAGCAGGACAGGTGGACACAGCAGCGTGTTTGTTTTTGTTTCTGTGGCATTAAAAAGGCCTTGCTTGGCCACTAGGTGTGAAAATACACACCCTTACATTGTGTTTGGCCAATAAAACTGACCTAAGACACACATGGATGTGTTTGTTTTAATATAAATGATTAATTTATTTTATTAACTTGAAAATGTACTGATTGGGTAGTGTATATAGAGAAGCACAAAAGACCAAAGTATGAAGTCCCTCCAGGACGGCACTGATTGTCTCCTCCCGCCTTGTGGGAAATGAATTGGATTATGATGGTGTGTTCTGCTATGACAACAGAGAAAAACAGACTGAGGAAACGCAATCAGAGCTCATCAGCCGCCTCTCTCACACCTTTATTTACCCCAACCCCAAAGAGATGATGGGAATTAGCATAATGATTTCTAACCCAGATAAAAAGAGGAATTTCTAATTATTTGTAACATCTTGGGACCCTCCTCCTGATCTGTCCAATAATGTTAACATAATTGCATAAGTTGTCAAAGGGTGTTGAAGGGCTAGCGGAGGAACGCTGGTGGAATATTACACAATTTCCTTACAGAAATGTAGAGTAAGGGTCAGAGGAGCTGATAGATGTTGAGATGCAGTCCAAATGTATGTTTGAGAATCAAAGTGCAACTCCAGTTTAAAAAATTACAAAAGTAAAGTTTATAAAAATGTCAATGTCAGAAGCTTTAAAGCTTAAAAGTGCACTTAGGACAAGAAGATGATTCAAATTCCTATTCTTGAAGCAACTATTACACTGAAACCCACTATTGAAAGCCCCCAGAATACAATAAAATGTAGGGAGACGCACAGAGATGGAGTCATTGCCTTACATATCCTGCCCTTTCTGTTACTAGTGCTAGAGCAGGGCAGGCTCTTTTATTGTGGAGCAATGAAACTCTTTCTCAAGATGCTGCAGCTGAATAATGCATAAGGACTCTTGGCTGCACACTATGTAAATAGTCAACAATAGCAACAGTGGTAACAACAGGTTTGGGTCTGCAGGAGTATTATGTAAAGTGGTCAGGGGCAGTGTGTCTGGCTCTCTAGCCTGCTATTGAGGCAGAAGCAGAGCCTATGTGAGCACAAGGGGGGGCGGGGGCGCACACTGGGGCCTGGAGGGGACATGTACAGAATTAATGAGGCCAATTTAGTGTAGAACCGGGGCGGCATCTACTGAACGGTCCTTAAGGACCGTTGTAGCTTTACCCCTCTCCCTACCCATGCACTTTAGCTCCTCCTCTCCTTGTCCTTTGGTCGTCAGTCCTGGAAGGTACACACTAAAAAAAAAAAAAAAAAACACCTGAGCTGCCTGGCCGCTAGGTAGGAGGTGGTATGATATTCCCTCATGATAATCTTGAGTAAAAATACCAATTATAGACAAAAATCTAGAACAGAAAGATAGTACCTGATCAAAATACTTTTCTTTAAAACATTAAAGCAACTTTTCCTACAGCTGCTAAATGAAGAAAATGTTATAAATGTTTCTGTGTCTTTTGAGCTATATACTTGCTCTTCTCCACACATACAGATTAAAGACCTACTAAATATAAACATATTTTTCAAATGCTTATACTGGAGAATATAAAATATTTTTGTCGCTCTGCTCCACACAGAGTAACACAACAACAAGAAGCCGGTGGTATAATCAGGCTATTAGCTTAGGTAGCCAGCCTCCTGTCAGTAATAGTTTCCTTTTCTGTAGTTGTCTGATGTTGTATCGCAATCAGTTTGTAGAAAGGTAAATAATTCTTTGGGTCATAAACTTGTCTAACAGACAGAACATTTTTACTAATTTAAGAAATTTAAATAGACTCAGAATCAACATGTACAACACTATAATAGTGAGTATTAAATGTCTACATTTTCACTGTTTTATTATTCTAATGACTTCCTATTTCAAACCAGGGCTCAGTCTGACTAGCTATTAGCCTTCCACCACTTTAGATTTCTTCACCTTTATAGAAACTCAATGCAACATGACATATACCTTCACAGATTCTCACTTTAAAATATTAAAACTACACAAACGTCACTCTCATACACGTCGCTGGTGCTCCTTTCTGTCACATGTTATCTATGCCACACATGTGCACTACTGCTACTCAAGTATTGCAGCAACTCCCCAATCCTAACATTACATGATCTCATGTAAGTGCAATAGCTTCTCTTATCCTCTCACCTCAGAATGCTTGATGCTTAAAACCAAAAGTGAAACTAATGGCATGACCTACTTTCTGATTAATTGTGCTTACCCTCATCTGACCACTTGGGGCATTGCTAAAACATTGAAACATTATCTCCTTCAACATGGAAATTATAGCAAAATAGCAAGTTACCCTGTACTGACAGAGTTTAATACTCTGAATTCTACACCCTTCATCCAAACTCACACATTATTATAACCAGAAACACATGAGCAGCGAAACACATTCTTCATGGACATTGTAGGACTTAATGCACCATCAAATATGATACATGTCCACATGTTTAGACTTGCTTAATGCATTTTCCAGTATACCAGCACACATGGTAAGATCAGAGTCTTTACTTTCCACATCTTTAGTTGTAGCTTTTTTTTTGCCAAATTTATTACAGTGTGTAACAAAATGTGGGGGAGGGGAAGCATTAAACTGTGGTCCATACAGCTGAAGGAAACTGGTCACTCTGGCAATCTCTCAGGCATCTCAATAAGAGGAGTTTTAAGCGTACAAGTATGATTTTTTTAAAAAAAAAAAAAAAAAAAAAAAGCTTATGTGAACTTTTTAAACTCTTTGCATACTTTTGATACCAGCAACTGTTTAGATATGACATCTATAGTTTCTTTACTGGCAACCACTATAAATTAATTATATTATTTTTAAAATATATTTTACATCACTCTGTAGCCACATTTGATAATGTTTTGATACTAACTTGCTCCTTTTTATGCTTTCCAGGTAACATAGAATACAGCTGTCCTGCCACAAACGAATGTGAGATCACAAAACGGCGACGCAAATCATGTCAGGCTTGTCGCTTCATGAAATGCCTCAAAGTGGGGATGCTCAAAGAAGGTAAGAAGAGTAAGAACATTTTTTATTAATTTTGCACACATCCATGCAAAACATCTCTTAACATCGCACCCCTCACGTTCAGGATAATTGCTTTGTTACGTCCCTGATTGCTGCGGCAATCACCCCGCTGAGTTTCTCTTGTGCTCCACAACACAGCCCTTTGTCCTGCCTCTTCCTACACAGCAGTAAATAATGTGCAGTTGAGCTGGGGACAGAAATATGCTGAATAGGTTGCTCCTGCCGTCTGAGTAACAGAAATGTAACAGTATTCCACTTGGAAAGGCTCACGCCGGGTCCCTCAGCACACGCTCACCACAGTCTCAGCTCTCCCTGGCATATTGATCCACTAAATGTTTTCCGAACATCTCAGCCCCCTTCCTTGGGGTTTTTTTTTTTTTTTTTTTTTTTTTTAAGTCATGCCACCGGGGAATTCAGTGACAATTAAACATGCTCCAGATGGATTTGTCTGGCCACGGTTTCTCTCCCACTAAATATCACCACTAGCCGAACCCCCCTGAGACCTTCAGCCTTGGCTGCTATTTTAGGGGAGGAACCTCTCTGCTTTCACCGCATTACACATCCTCACCTGGCTGACTTCTTTATTCATTCTCACTGCTTTGTTGGAAGGGAAAATAATACTTCAGAATGAGGTAAAAATACATTCATGTCGATCGTGATTGAAAGTATTTGTATTCATTTTACATTTTTTAATTATTTGTTTGATGTATTCATTTTTTCATGGCAGAAAGAGGACACTGGAAACAACTTCAATGGATTTTCAAATATTTACAACCTTTCTAATATTTGGTGAAAAATAAAAAAAGTCCCTTGGAAAACTGCAGTGAAACTAAGTTTCTGGCTTAAGTCTGACTGGAAATTTATGACTAAATCTTAGAGTTTAATTTTTAAATGCAGTCCGTATTTATCAGTAGATATAAGTGGTAGGAGTATAAATTAGTAACAGTATAGATTGTAACAGTTTAAATTGGTTAGATCTGTCCCAAAGCAAAGCAAAATTTTAGTCTGACTTATGTTTTTTCCAAAACTAGTTTGGTTGCCATCTTTTTGCAACACCACATTGTGTCCTAATTTCTTATAGGACTACAATTGTTACCATCAGAATAAATGAAACTTGTTAACACAGTCTGTCTAGAAAAGTCTAGAAACCCTTCAAGACTGAAGCTGGCGCAAAAATGTAAGCTGCTGGAATGAAAGTGACAGGGTGTTGACCCAAAAACCTGAGCCTTACTCTAAAAACACTTTCAGGTTAGGCTAAAATTTGAAGGTGAAAGATTGAGCTGGAATGGAAGTGGCAGCAGTATGATGTGGGTTTGTTTTGCTCTCATTGGTACTCATACTTTTTGCACAGTGTCTATGGAATAATGCGAGTCAATGCAATCAACCATCCCCTGTTCTATATGCTACACCTTTTATTAATTCACGCCATAAACAAAACTTTTACAGCTTTGTGTTGAAACTGGAACCAAAGTAGAATATTAATTGAATTGTATGCATTAATTAAACTTTATTCAGTTTACATAGCTCTATTGAATTGACTACATATTTTGTATAAAAATTAGATCTGTTTGTCTTTAGATGGCATCTGCTGTGAATTTATGCTTTAGGAATAAACTCTGTTGAAACGGAACAAGCATCACCTGAAAATCATCAGCTAGGCAGCTTTAAACTATGACACAGTTGAATGTTTCAGCAGATTTTATGATTTGTGGTTGGATTGAAGTTAAATGCAGAGAAATCTGTGATCAAACATTGAGTGCTTTGGTATAAAACATAATTAAAACTTACAAAAACGATGCAGGGAGAGGCTGGTTTGGAGATGAACAGTTGAACAAGATGAGCTAATCGGGAGGAAATGTAGTAAAGCTGTGGCTGGGAGAAAGCTGTGAGTCTGAGACAGTGAGAGACGAAGATTCAAACTTGTTTTTAAAATTATTTGAAATTATTTTATCATCAGTCTACTCTGGAAAAAAAATATTCAAATTCACAATTAAATCCCAAACGTAATTTTAACTGTAAATGTTCATTAGCATGACATCTGACAGTTTCTCCACATTATTATGAATTATAATAAAGCATAAATACATATTTTGCTTTATTTATATTACTGTCTAAAATTGCAATGCATATTCATTTTCCCTTCATTTTCATTTTATCAATTAATATTTGTTATTCAAATAAGGTCATGCACATGAAGATTAGATGTAGCAACTTTCTTTGGATTCATTATAATGATGCAAAATCCCAACATCTTTTTTGGACTTTTGTCCAGAAATCACATTTTGAAAAATATTGCACATTCAGTCTATAGTTCTTATTTTATCAAAGGCAGGAATTATATACTAACAAACACTGTATTTATTCACATTTCTAAATAAATGTGATTTTTACCAAGCCAAAGTTGCAAAAATATTGACCACAGCCTATTTTTCCCAGTGGAGATTGAATGATATGGTAAAAAACTATTTGACAAATGTTTTACCTCCTTGCACATACAATTACAATTGATCAATATTGTGTGATATTTGCTAAATGGCATTAAATTACAAATGTATTTGTACTTTTTTTACTGCTGCTCGTCTTGTATCATCCAACACCCAGATTAAAACTTATACTTTTAAATTATCTGCTAAACTCTTAAGTCAAAAGTCCCCTATTTCCTTCCTCCCATTATTCTGCCGTTGGACAGCAGGATTTATAGATGCATATATATTCAGTCAGCGGCCGGATCCAGAGTTGTGGCCCGTATGGATCTGCTGCACAGTAACAGAATCTCCTGGACTGCATGAGGCCAGATAAAGCCTCGGTGCCAGAAAGACAGAGTAATCGCATTACTATCTGATGAAAAATTTATGCCAATATATCATTCTGGAGAATAAGAGACTACAAAAATATGTGGCTGCGGCTATAAATGAATGACCAGTGTCAGGTCAAAGTAAAAAGAGTGTAAAACTCAAATATTCACGCTCCGACTAAGCCCTGGGTTTTAATGCAGTCTTCTGTGAATTCAGCATATTAGCAGAATGAGAACAACTCTCCTCTTTTGCATAGCCCCCCCATCACAAAGCTACAGCTCTCGTCAGAAGGTGATCGAAGATTAACGGGGCAGTTATCTCATAATTTATTGATTTTTCAGCCAGTATTATTGAAAACATTTCCAGTGACTTATGGACAGAGGTGCAGTAGATCTTTTTCTTCAGATCCGTTTTAGGGCTTTAATAGAAACTGAAGGGAAAGAAAAACACACAGCCTGTGTCCGGTGTAAGCTCTCTGAAGCCGTGGGCTCAACACCGTGGCCGGACTCATCATGCGGAGATGACCACTGTTCATGTGACTGAGGATGCCACTTACTTTAATTACTGAAGAAAGGTCACATTGTGTCACCATATGGAAAATATCATCTAAATATATCTCAATAAACTATTCATCCATTTTAAAATAGCAAAGAAGTTTTCGGACAGTAACATAAAGGATATTTCTCGTGTTACATTTGCAGTAGCTGAAGCTATTTTAAATGTTTAACATCTCAAAGTGTATCACGATAAATATGGGGAAAGTGGTCTGCTAAAGATCAGCAGCAAGATTACAGGAATTACAAGAGCCCTGCCCGGACCCCATGTTTAGTCACCGCACTTTCCTTTGACTGTATAAAGGAGGAAGTGATCGATACAAGAATCAAATGTCAGGGGCAACAGGTTTTTTTGCTCTGATCAATGGAAACGGATCAGAGCTTAGAGCAAGAGAGAAGACAAGATAGTATTGAGAGATTACATTGACATCATTCGGTGGCAGTTGCTCTCCTCTTTTCCTTTCGCTGTGTCTCACTTACACATGGAGGATCCGCCACATGCATAGCTGCATGCAGACCAAACGCTGTCGTTATGTAACAATTGCTGAAGCACTTCAGTTCTCTAATTACTTGCCTGGTTTATTGTCTCCATGTGGAAGTGTTGTACGGCCTGGAAAATGCCATGCTTTGCCAAAGTCTTCATACTCTTGACCTTTTTCACATTTTGACATGTTACAATCTCAAACTTTAGTGGAATCTTTGGGTGTTTTTTAGGGTAAACCAACACAAAGTGGAAGATAAGTGAAAGAAAAAGTCTTTCACTTTTCTCCTATCTGAGCTGAGACCGCTGTAGCTCTTCCACAGTTTCCCCCCCCCAACCTTTCCATCTTTCCATCCAAAAGAGCGATGATTCAATGGCCTATGTCAAAAACTACAGCAGAGTGCAAAAGATGTCTCTATGTGCCATTATAGGACAATGAATTGAACCGGGCTCTGCTAGTGCTGTTGCATTAGTTTTTTTGTTAGGATATTTGGATGCACCAATATTCCCTAACAAACTTAAATTCATGCTGAGATTAACACAGCTAGATTCTAATTACTGACTTATTCTGTGCAAATATGGGAATGCAATGGGAGGATTCGGATTATCCTTTGAACAGTGATGGTGATCTCGAAAGACAGGACATTTCTTGTTGCTTAGTTGCAAACAAACTCACACTAATTATATTTGAAAGTTATATAATATTCAAGGGGGAATGAGGGTAAAACAAGAAAAACAAAGTTTTACATCTCTTATTTGAGAACTGAATTTCAATTTAAGTGACAGTTACTCTGAAATTATCCACATCCGCGGATGTTAGCTAAGCTAGGTATTGCGGCTAACCTGCAAATGGACTATCTGGCGACGGTGTCAGTATGGCAGCCTCTGGGGGTCATCAGATGGGGAGGGGGCAATGTGTGACAATTTTCCGCTACCCTCGTTCATCACCACTCCTGATTAAAAATGCTGTGACACACTTGCAAGTATTCGAAGCTGGCAACAGGGGCCCTTTGAAATAGTGCTGACGGCAGTTTAGCGTGGCAGCTTCCTTGAAAGGCAAGGTTCACCATGCCTTGCCATGTGGCCTTCTGATTTTCCCAGCTAAAATAGGGTCTGTCTAAGCCCCCCTTGGCATTGCCAACCATCCCAGACATCCTGACACTTTCCCCAATGGAGAGATGCTCCGAACAGGTGAGGGACTCAAAATAAGGGCCCGTACCATAGCTTGCCACACAAAGTGAGTGAAGACAGGCCCTTTTGAAGGAGTGTGCTTGAAGGGGGATTATTATTGTTTTTGGAGGGAAAGAAGAGCCCTAGGTCAGCTGGCCCCGGCCCCCACCTCGAGGCCTGCGTTAATCCGTGTGCGAATGCCAGCCGCCTTGGCCAAAAGCCCCCTCCACAAGCAGCTTTCTTTGAAGAGATGATACCCGAGCTCACCCGCTGCGACTCTTGCTGCACTGTACTTAAAACAGTAAGAAGACTTTTGCACATTTATATCTCAATTGCTGCTTACCCATGGAGGAAGCACAACAGACCAATCAGTCAGGCTCCTCAAAATCCCTCAAAAATCCACCCTACAGTCTCCAAGTGAATGAATATAAATGTAACAAAACACCTCTGATCACTCCGTCTTCCTTTCTGCTAATATCTGGACAGTAAAATGAGACAGGTTAGAGCCGAGCTTTAATTCCTGTCACCATTTGTTAATTATGGCCTGGACTGTTGTAATTAAAAGAGGCACCCATCCACCCTCCATCGCCGGCTGACACAGCCGCACAGCTCAACTGGCAGAGAGAAACACGGAGATCCGAAGCGCAGTCACCTGGCAGGAGCCCGACTCTGCAGGAGAGCTGAAAGAAACTGTAGAAAGTGGTGACATCACGTTGGACAATGACAGGAGTTTCCCACTGCTCAAATAAAAACTACCTGAGCTACAAATGGACTCTAATAAAAAAAAGGCCACTGCATACTTGTTTGTATGTTGGGGAAAAAGAAAATTTTCATGTCTACTTGGTGTGTGTGCGTGCGCGCGTGTGTGTGGAGGTGGCTTCCCCTATTCTTGCCGGGAAGGATGAATGTCTGTTGGGAAATTGGGGTAATTAGGTTAGTAGGTTGTCACTGTCAGGAAATTGAAAGACAGTCCTAATCAGATTTGTGTTTCTAGGGAATCAAATAATTTATATAAGAAAATGAAATATACAGTTACACTGCATTGAAAAAGTATTCAGACAACTCATAGCTGTTAATTTGAATCAAAGTGATGCATGGTTTTTAAAATAAAAAGCTGAAAGGTTTAGGGTGGCCAAAGATGAAGGAGCACAGCAGATGGATCAGGGAGAAAGTTATGGGGAAGACTTTAGATCTGAAAAAAAAATATGCAAAGCTTTGCGGATCTGACTGAGAACATTTCAGTCCATTAACATAACAACAGACCGACCAAGACTGACAGGAGGGTGATGTGATCCACAGATCTAGTCTTTACAGCAAGGTGGAAAGAAGGGAGACAATGTTGAGAAATAAACAAAAACATTACAAATCTCATGTAAACATGTAGGAGAAGGTTCTCCGGTTAAATGAGACTTGCACTGCATCCAGGATTCCAAAATACCAGCCTGCAACTCAAAGAGAGGACAAAAACAAATATTACACCTCACCCTGAAAACAGTATCCGACCAGTAACTGAAGGTGGTGGCAACATCGTGCTGTAGGGATAATTTTCTACAGTCAGGATAGAAAATCTGGTCTGAACCGATAAGAGGATGGTTGTCTTTTCAGTTGAAGGATTATATTCAGTAAAATACGTTGAAGTTTGTGGTTTTAATGTTAAAAACTGTGGAGAATTTCCAGAGGTACAAATACTCTATCAAGGCATATTACACTGTAATACATTCTAATGCCACCTTTGGTCATGTCACGTAAGAGGTACAAATCTAGATATTTTGCATAAACCTGCTGTTGAGTTCCTTTTTGCTAAATGAAGGCCATCACTTCTGTCCTGCTCATCTGATTTTTCTCCTTCCCTCCATTTCACCGAGCGACCTCCAGTCGTTTGTGCGTGGGGCACATCCAAACTCATCCTCTCCAAGAGCACTTGCTGATGGGTAAATTGTATTAGGCTCATTTGCAGTGGCCACACAATGTCCGGATTTGACACCGTCCTCCCTGTTATAAAGTGATGAAATCATCAAGGAAGTGCTCTGGCTGCGGGCGTTCTTCACTCAGAGGACGCAGGAAGCTGACAAATTAACTCCTCCTCCACCGCGAGCATTTCATTGAGCCTTTTCCCATCCATCCTTTAATATTAAATTTGTTTGAGGGGGGTTACATTACGTATACAGATTGAAAGGATTCTCCCTCTTGACAGGATTAAGATTTAGGTTTCACAGTCGCGATGACACACAAGTATGAGGATGCAGGATATAACTGCTTGCATGCAATTGCATTAAATAAGCAAATACCTGCTCAGGGATATCAAAAAGAAAAGGAGCGGCGTCTATGAAATATGTTAACAATGTTGAAAATTAATAGAATAGAAAAGACATCCGAATAGAAACATTCTTATCAAATAATGAGATAATAAATAACTTATGTTATGATGAGGCTGGCTTGACATTTACAGTATCAGTGTGCAACCTGGCCCCCTAGGTGTGGCTAGGGGTGATAAGGCCCCCGTGCTGCTCCAGTGAAAGAGGGGTGAAATAGGGGTCTTTTATGGGAAAGCAATACCCAGTTATCTATCTGCGGTATGACAGCGGGAGCTTTGTACGCTATGTGTGTGGCTGCGTCTCTGCTCGGAGCTCGCGGTTTTTGTTTTGTGGATGTGGAGGAGAGCACACCTGAGCTCACAGATGCGAGCAAAGAGGCAGGTAGCTGGCAGCTAATTAGTATGCAGCCTGCCTCACCCCAAAAGCTAAATAATTAGAGGGCCAGTCTGTGAGATCATTGACCCTGCATTAAATATTCATATGTTTAGACCTGCTCTGGGCTCAGCTGTGTCACAGTAGACCAGCCAGGCATGGACCACATATGGGAAGGCAGCGAGGCCTCTGACACATCCGCACAGACACACACTCGCGCGTAGTCGTTCAGGAATTCGTTTCGACACACATATGCCACCATGCAGTGCTTTTTGATCCCTTATGCACAAGCAAGAGACAAACTATGTTTCGTACAGATGATCTAAGGAGTGTAAAATTTGATTTAAAGTAGCAACCAGAACTTTTTACTGAAAATGTCTTGACTTTGTTGACCTATATAGTGTCTGTGTGTGCAGTGTGTAGGAAACAGATTCATACTGCTTGAACTTTTCCATCTTTACATCCACAACCTTCAATGTATTTTGTTGTGAAAAACCAACACAAAGTAGCTAAAGTTCTGAAATGGAATATAAAGTGTGATATACATTTGTGCATCACACATATCCCAAGCAGTATTATGCAAGATGGTTGAAGCAAAAAAAAAAAAAATAGTGCAAGGAACCTTGAATAAAACCTGTCACAGGCTGGTAAAAAACTTGAGACAGAGTTTCACCTACCAGATGGACAGCAACCTTTGACACATGGCTGCTGTCTGGGTGAAAATATCCATATGTTGAAAGGGACCAGTCAAAGTCAACTGCCATGTTAAGTGTCCTTCACATGCTCTCAATTCAGTCCAACTGTGTGACTTTGTGGAGAAAAATGGATAAAGATTTCAGCATCCTGATCTGCAAAGCTGGAGATATACTCTAACAGACTTGCATGACTCACACAGGATAAATACAAATTAACACCACACTTATTTAAAACCATAAATAGTTTTCCTTCCACTCTACAATTAGAGTAGAGAAAAAAAAAATTCTATAAAATGTATTGCCCTCTGTTTAAGCAATGTGAAAATAAGGTTGGACAGTGAAAGTTGGGTAAACAGATACATAGACACATCTACTGATGCTTAACTTTGCTTGAAAGATGGTTGGGTATGAACAGATTGGCCAAGCCTTACTTTCTTAAAAAAAATACCAATTTTCAAAATACTTTTCCAAGCTAAATTTATAAAAGGACTGACCAACCTTACAGTCAAAACATGTAGAGTTTGTAGAGTTGCGTTGGTTTATCCTAGAAAACCCCAATAAAATACACTGAAGTCTGTAATTGTAACATGACACAATGTGAAACAGTTCAAGGAGTAGGGATACGTTTGCAAGACAATATATTTGATATTCTTTCAATTCTGTCTGCCAAGCAAAATACACACTTTTCATTTGGCGTCTGTTCTGTCTTCTCTTTCCCAGGGGTTCGTTTGGACCGAGTGCGAGGGGGCAGACAGAAGTACAAGCGGAGGCTGGACACAGAAAACAACCCATACCTGGGTTTGACGCTCCCCCCTCCTACTAAAAAGCCTCGTGAGTACTGCTCCATCACTAACCCGTCGCCCCTCATCCAGCCAGTCAGCTTCCAGGTATAGCCAGGCCAGATTCATGCTCCCCTGTCACTCCCATGTTTGGACAGTTGAGAGATCATTGGTCAGAAATGTAGGCCATGTATTGTTCCGGCCAGAGCTGAATTATGTTAAGTCTCTGAGCAGGTGACCGCTATTATACAACCGAATGCTGGAGGACGCATTTTCAATCGCAGCTTCTCTTTTATTTCCCACAAACATTCAGTGAATGAAGCACCACAGTTTCTCTGAGTGTATCATATCGTCACAATGATCAATACTGAACATCTTTGTGGTCCTTTGAGCTTTTCCAGCCTCTGACCTCTTATTTTGTTGACATCCTACTGCGCCCTCTTCTATTTTCAGTCACAAAGATAGTGTCTCACCTGTTGGTGGCCGAGCCAGAAAAGATCTACGCCATGCCTGACCCGACCATGCCAGAGAGTGACATCAAGGCTCTCACCACGCTGTGTGACCTGGCTGACCGCGAGCTCGTGGTCATCATTGGCTGGGCCAAACACATCCCAGGTAGAAAAGCATTCCCTCTTGCTGTGTCTTATTCTTTCTCATTTCTTTCTCTCTCTCTCACGTTTTACCCTGAGTTTAACTCTTTTACTTTTATTCTCTTTTGCTCTAGAAAGACTGATTGTTATCTGACAGACTGTTGTAATTTTTCAACTATAGCCACAAAGCATGTGGAATTCCTCAAAGCTTTTATCTCGAGTCACTCCTATTTATACAGAAGCTATTGCCTTTGTTTCCAAAATTGCAATTTATAGATCATCCTCGTTGCACAATGACAGTAAAAACTATAGAAGATGATTTGTTAAATTATGTTTTCAATTTGTGTTTTTTTTCTTGCTTTTTTTGCTGGTATTATTTTTTTATCATATCTTTTGTTATTAATATAATATACCTCAGCTTCGTCACTTTATTTTCCTATAAAGAACTTTGATACACTATCTGATGAGCGGTGCAATGATAAATAAACTTGCTCTGCATGAAAAAGTAAGCATGTCATAAAATAATGAGAGTAGCCCACTTGGCCTTCTGGTGTCTGTTGGACTCAAAAGGCGAACACTTAGCAGAGTGTTGCATGCACTAAAATCCCTTCACTGGTTGAAGAAGGAGAAATGGGGAGATTTAAAGCAAAGTTTGGGACCTGCCCAAACAAATAAGACATCATATCACACTTGAATGCACCGGAGAGCAGGAGCGCACACACATCTCCTGAATTATTGATAGGCATAATCATGTTTCTTCCGTGCCCCATAGACATCGTGATAGACGAGGTGTTAGGTTATAAGAGGCTGTTGAATTAAGGATACACCACTGAGAATACGCCGCCTCACGTCAGCAGAGATTTTGCTTCCTTCAAGTGTTTTTCCTCTGATTTTGACAGAGAACATGTTGTTTAGTCGCTCTTTTTTTTGCAACCCAGGCAGATTCTGCTTGATCTTGCGCTTGACCCCCATAACTCTACAGCATTACGATGCTGTAAGCGCGAAAGAGTAACAGAGTAAATGACAGTGTCCCTCAGCGGCAACTCCATAACCTCCTTCTCTCATCAGCATAACGCGAACAGGGACACAGCTGTCAGTGTGTGGGAAAGCTCAAGCAGCTGCATGCTTTTATTTTATGTCTGTCTGTTATTGAGATCATTTAAATTCAGGTTAAGTAAATTGGGAGAACTTATTTCAATCAGATCAGCTGGAAATAAAGCTGACCCTTTTTTTTATATAGTGCTGAAAAGGTATTAGAGTACTTCTCAGAAGGAAGGGTATTAATCAGGTACAGATCTGATAGTAAGGAGATTAGAGGTGGATATGCTCCCAGGCCCTGGCCTCAGCTCCGGTCCCTTACACGTCTAAACTGTTTGGATCACTCCACACATGGCCATGCATGGTCAGCAGCCTGAGAGTTTAACCAAGGAGCTTACTCAGGACTGGATCACAGCTGACCCGATAACACACTCCCATCGATGTGACCCAAAAATTACGCCAGCACCGCAGACATTCTGGAAAATCCCATGACACTGGACTGCGGAGGGCTGGAAGCAGAACTACGCTGCCTTTGTTAAAGAATAAAGAGAGTGAGGAAACCTTAAATAAACTTATGCGTTTTATGGATTTGTTTTACAGTTTATAATTTGTGCTCTAAATATTTCACAGTTAGCTGCTTACACTTATCTTTAATGACGTAGTGCAGTTAATAGACAGTGCACAGGTTCATAGTGTTTCTGCGATTTGACTAACTATAATAATTTCAACCCATCGCTTCGAGCCCATGGCTTTGTTCCTAAATTAGCACAGGTGTCTGCCACTTAAAGGCTACACTGAATAATCTGCACTACCTGTGAGATGATAGCCTGTAAGCAGATTATTTTGATCTCCTTCCTTGTAAACACATACAGACTCTCTCTAATACCTTTGTTTCGTAATGTTTTCATTGTTGAATCAAATGTTTGTTTGTTTTTTATATTAGATAACCATTTAGGTGAGAGAGAAAAAAAAAACTGCTTCTACTAAGTGCTTGGTTTGCGTCTGTCCCTGAGGTGGCGTTTGTATTAGGACAGTGGGTGTCCTCTGGCCATGAAATGGCTGCATAATTGAGTTGTACATGGCTGAACCTGATCAGAGACGGTTCACTGGTTGAGCGAGACTCCATGCGCTAACACTCCATGCACCGGCGGTACCCCGGGGCAGCCTACCACGCTCATCTCCTGCTATATTTCTCCTCCTCCACTACAGGACCAGACAGGAAAAAAGTGCTGATTGTATTCTGATAGATTTTTGTGGCCTTCGGCGATGGAATTAAAAAGATTAACAGTTCATAATGAAGTAGAACACACGTATTAGGCCACTTACAGATGGGCCAATAACTAAAGTTCAAATTCAACAGTTTAAATGTCAGAAAAATTGGCACTTAGCATCTCCCAGTTGATTTTTAATTTCGTCTATTAACGGAGAACATTTTAAAATGTGTTTGAAAAGCGGCGCAATGTCGAGAAGAATGGCCCAATTGCACATTTATGGGAGGGCAAGTGGAGGATAACAAGCTGTATCAGTCGTATAGATTAAGTCCAATGTCTGCTTTCGTTCTGAGCCATAAAAATGATTCAGCATCCAGAGCCTTTCAAAAGTATTCATACCCCTTTAATTTGTCACTTTACAAACAACTTTAATGTACATTTAATGTTTTGTAAGATAGACAACAACGAAATAGGTTAAATTGGGAAGACAACTGCATTCTGCAAAGTCTGGCATGCATTCATATTCAGTCCACCTGAGTCTGGTTGAACCTTGTTTTGTTTTAGTTCTGACTGGAAGTGTTTTGGTGTATGTGTCCATCAGCTTTGCATGTTAAAAGATTATTTTTCCTGCAAGATTGTTCAAACTCTGTTGGATTACTTTAGGAAAATGCCTAGTCTTTTCACAGATTTTAAATTAAAATTAGATCTGGACTTTGACTAGTGCATACTCGCAACATGCATGTGATTGCATGTGATTTGATCAAATCTTTTACATTGGTGGTCTGCCTACAGAGGGACATTTCCTGCAGGAACGTGAGCCCCGTTCTTTTACAGATTCTCCCACCTGAACTTTGGATCTCTGCAGTTCCTCCAAGACTTATCGTTGGCCTCTGAAATGCTTCCACTGATTAATGTTTTCATTGGCTGACCTGTCAGTTTAGGTGAATGACCCTGTCTTGTCAGATTTGCAGTTGTGGGATGGTCTTTCAATTGTCAGACTGACATGAACATGATTTTAGAGATTTGCAAATCTTGTGATATTGTTTTATAAACTTACCCACAACTTTCTCCCTCACCTGTCTGTCAGGAAAGGAAGCTGGATGGATACAGCACTCACTTTTCAGATCTCTATTTTCTAAATAAATGAACAATTATGCAAATTTCCTTCCAACTTATTGCTACTTTTTGGTTTTCCATTAATAAAAATCAAATTAAAATACATTAAAGTTCAGGGTTGTGAACTCAAAAAGTATAAATACTCTTTTGCTAGGTGAAGAATTGATGGATTTAATTAAACTAAAAGTACATTACATCTGTTTGCTATTGCAGACAGCAGCCCTGCGTTCATTCTGGTTCTCCCTTAATCACAGCAGAACCTTCGGACACTTCAGTCACTTCTTTAAATAGTAGCATGAGGCACAGTCTGCAGCCCCCTGAAGAGGGTCTGGGGTCGTTAGCAGGAGCAGCGTTACAGAGATGCTGACAGATGGGTTGTTGCTCCTAAGGTGCTAACAACCTTTGACACACATTGCAGTGCACTGTGCAGCCCCTTTGGCCCGTTTCCATCACATAAAGCTCAATTCCACCCTGTCCAGGTGTTTTACGGAGGAACTAAGTACACTCACAGCCTCAGTGCGCCTTGACACTGAGAGTGTGACTATCCTGGATGCAGTCTCCTCTATTGTGGTAAAACTGGCATGCATGCCTTTTATGCAAGGCCGTGTTAGAAGCTAAACTTTGACATTTACAAAAATCAGTCAAAACAAGTGTACTGTTCCTTCCAAAAATGATTACATCGTTGACTTTACTTCACATTAAAACCACAACATTTCTTTCACGACATATTGTGATTATGTTGTAAATGTTGTAAACCAAGTGTTCAATATCTAACAGACCAATAAATGTCACAACTGTGAACCTTCCAAGACCAGAAGCATCAATTAGACAGCTAAAATGAACATGGTAACTTTGGAGGAGCTGCAGGGAGCTACAGCTCATGTAGGGAACACAGCATAAGTGTGATAGAAGGTGCTCTTGTATAAAATAAAGTTGTTGGCCGATATGTAAAATTGTATGTGTGGTGGAAAACTTACATTGTGCATCATCCCATGTTGAAACATGGTGATGGCAGCATCATGATTTGGGGATGTTTGTCTTCAGTGAGGACATGGAAGCTGGTCAGAGATAACAGGGATGAAGCTAAACACAGGACAATCCTGGAGTCCTGGGCTTGAGACAGAGGTAGACGTTCACTTTCAGCAGAACAAACACCCTAAGTGTACTGTCAGAGATACAATGGGATGGTGGAAATCAAATTCCTGTGTTGGTATGGTGCAAGTAAACTCTGGACCTAAATGCAAATTTAAGGACATCTGGCAAGACTTGAGAGTCGGAATAGAAAAAGCAAAAATATCAATGTCAACATTGCCCACAAGAGGTTTTTTTGTGGTATTTGTGGTTGTACAAAATTTGCACTCCACACCTTTCAGATTTTTAGGTGCAATTCTTAAAAAAAAAATAAGAGAAACATGTATCACTTTAAATTCCACTTTAAAATTACCTAACACTTTGTTTTGGTTTATTACATAAGCTCCCAATAAAACACATTAAGCTGTGAGTTTAATGCTTAAAGGGACATGAATGCTTTTTGCAGAGCACTGTATCTTTTTTATTAGGTGCTTAGAAATGAATTCCTTATTTCTTAACACCAGGTGTTTCCACATTAGTTGTATTAGATTTAGGCCAGAAGAAGGTAATGAATCAGACCGCATTTCGT